AGGATCCTCTTCTTCTGGCACCCCTATGATATGGATGTTGGAATGTTTAAAGTTGTCCCAGAGGTTCCGAAACCTCTCATTTTTTTTGAATTCTTGTTTCTTCCTTCTGTTCTGGTTGGATGTTTATTTTTTCTTTTGTTGCAAATCATTGATTTGAGTCCCAGTTTCCTTCCCTTCACTGTTGGTTCCCTGTATATTTTTCTTTATTCCACCTTGTGTAGCCTTCACTTCTTCCTTTTTTTTTGTGGCTGCACTCAATCCTTTCTGTGAGCATCCTGATTCCCAGTGTTTTGAACTCTGCATTGCTTAGTTCTTTTTTTTTTTTTTTTTTTGAGTTTTGATCTTTTCTCTCATTTGGGCCATATTTCTTTGTCTCAGAACACCAGTCTGGATGAGTGCTTCTTCTTTAACTCCTCGGTTGTCAGACTTCCATGCAGTTTGATTTTCTGGCAGTCCTGGTTGTTTTTGTTTTTAAATTGTTTTTTTCCTTCTCTTGGTTGTGCGAAGAGGCAAAGCTTCTCTCCCTGTGCCTCCATCTTGGCTGGAGCTCCTCAGACAGAGGAACATTTGATCATTTTTTAAAGCTACCAAAGAACCCTGGTTGGTGTGGCTCAGTGGATTGAGCATGGGTCTGTGAAACAAGAGATCACTGGTTCGATTCCCAGTCAGGGCCCATGCCTGGGTTGTAGGCCAGGTCCCCAGTAGGGGACGCGGGAGAAGCAACCACACACTGATGTTTCTTTCCCACTCTTTCCCCTTCCCTTCCTCTCTCTAAAAAATAAAGAAAGAAAATATTTTTTAAAAAAAGCCACCAAAGAGAACGTGGTAAGTTATTTCCACTTTCTATAAACATTCTTTTAAAAATTGTTTTAATTTATTGATTTTTTTAGAGAAGGGGGGGAGAGAGAGAGAAACATTGATTTGTTGCTCCACTTATTTATGCATTCATTGGTTGATTCTTGCATGTTCCCTAACCAGGGACTGAGCCCACAACCTTAGCGTATAGGGATGACACTCTAACCAACTGAGCTATCCAGCCAGGGCTATGTAGATATTCTTAATAGTCTTAATATTCTTTACATATAAATACAGTTATGTATATATATGAAATCAATAATTTATGTAATGATAAAATAAAACAAGACTGTAGTCTCATTGCTGTATTTAATATTATTCTGAAAAATCCAATATAATAAGACTGGAAATTAAAAAAGAGGGTGTTATAACTTTTGGAAAGAGAGAGAGAGAGGCAAATTCATCATTGCTTGTAGATGATTTGTTGTATACATAGAAAATTCATGAGAATCAATTCTAAAATAATGAGAATTAATAATAGAATTTAGAGATGTCACTTGATACAAGACAAATATTGGGTTGGCTGAAAAGCTGATTGTTTTTTTTCATAAGATGGTTCTAGTAGCACTTACTTGTCTTCAACTTCATTTGAAACAATTTTGTTAGGTTGTATTGTGATGGCTGTCATATCAGCATGCATTTAAAAAAACTTATCAAAATTGGTGAATTTTCATGTAGCCATTTTAATATTGAAGATGGAAGAAAATAAGCAACATTCTTGGCAGATTATGCTTTATTATTTCAAGAAAGGTAAAAACGCAACTGAAACACAAAAAAAGATTTGTGCAGTATATGCAGAAGTGTATGTAACTGATTGAATGTGTCCGCAATGATTTGCAAAGTTTCATGCTGGAGAGTCTCACTGCGTGATGCTCCAGTCAGGTGGACCGGTTGACGTTGATAGCAATCAAATTGAGACATTAATTGAGAACAATCCATGTTATACCACACAGGAAATAACTGACATACTCAAAATATCCAAATCAATAAATTTATTGCTGAAAATAAAAAAATATGTCTTTTATGAAAAAAACCATATGGACTTTTTGGCCAACCCAATAAAAAACATATGTAGAGCCCTGGCTGGTGTAGCTCAGTGTATTGAGCCCAGGCCTGCGAACCAAAGGATCACAGTTCGATTCCCAGTCAGGGCACATGCCTGGGTTGCAGGCCAGTTCCCAGCAGGGGATGCACGAGAGGCAACCATACATTGATATTTCTCTCCCTTTCTCCTTCCCTTCCCTTCTAAAGATAAATAAATAAAGTCTTTTTAAAAATTGCCTCATTAAAAAAATATTAGCCTCCTTATATACTGAGAATAACCCATTAGAAGACAAAATCAGTTTTAAAAAATATCCCAGTAACATGAACGTTAAGATCACGGCTTGTGGCGCCAGATTCCCTGCTCGGTCATGTACTAACCACGTGACCCTAACCCCTCTGGCTTGTTTTCTCATCCACCAAATGGGAATGTAAATCTCACAGAGCTGTTTGAAGATTAAATTAGTTAATGCAGTAAAGCATCTAGAACCCACTCTGCTCATAGGAAGGCTTCACTGTATCTCAGTTATTGTATTAGTATTTTCCCAATTCATAATGGTTATAATAACATCACCATAAAAAGCTTAGCTGTAACCTTACTCAAAAATGTAAGGAACCTGAGAAAAGACAATTACAAAATTTTGCTGAGATATATAATGAAAGGCTGAAAAAAATGGAGAGACAAGCCATGTTCTTAGAAAAAATGAATCTTATAAAGATATTGATTCTTACCCATCAATTTGTCATTTTTAGAACATCCAACCACAGCTCCAATGGAATCCTTTGTTATTTGATAAAATGATTCTACCATTCATCTGTAATAAAAAACAGACAAGACAAGCAAAGAAAAGTTTTTTAAAAAGGAGAAAGAAGAAGAAATTCGTTCTTCACCTCAAGCCCTTTATGAAAAATAAGCAATACATAAATAAATAAAGGGTTACAGTGTACAAGAATAGACAGAATAAAAGAGCTAAACCAATAGCCCAGAAAAACACCTTTGTATGTGCATGGGTGTGTGAGTAAGTATAAAAATTTCATTTGTGATAATAATTACAGTTAACATTTATTTTGCCCTCATTTTGTGTCAGTTTCTATGAAAAGCAGTTTACGTTCACAAGAAGCCCATGAGGCAGGAAGTATTATTCATCTATGGGTGAAGGGCCTAAGTCTTAGAAAGGTTAAGTGACTTGCTGCCCTATGTGTGGATTTACATGAGGTCAACACACCCAAGTGAAGTACCTCTAGAGACTATGATCTTAACTTTAAGGCATATTATTTATAATTTCCCTTCTAGAAAATTATCCTAGACAATCTTTACAAACTAGGACAAAGATTAATTAAGAGAAAAAACCTAGTGTAGCATTTTTTATGATTACAAAAAAGCATAAAACAACAAGTTGGATATTCTACAGGGATAGGATTAAACATATCATCTCTGCAATGAAATCTTAAGCAACCAGTAGAATCAGTGTTGTCAGAGAAAATTTAATAATGTGGAGAAATGTCCATGATATGCCATTAACTGAGGCAGATTACAAATTGTGCAAACAGAATGACTGCAGTATATAGAAAACTTGTATTTTCCAAGTTATTTATAATCATGTTTATATTATATGGAAAAAATTTTTTCTTAAAGATTTTATTTATCTTTAGAGGAGAAGGGAAGGAGAGAGGGAGAGAAACATCAATGTATGGTTGCCTCTCATGTGTCCCCTGCTGGGAAATGGCCTGTAGGGAACCAGCCTGCAACCCAGGCATGTGCCCTGACTGGGAATTGACCCGCGATTGTCTGGTTCGCAGGCCCATGCTCAATCCACTGAGCTACACCAGCCAGGGCTACTTAAAAATATTTTATTTATTTATTTTTAGAGAGAGGGGAAGGGAGGGAGAAAGAGGGAGAGAAACCTTGATGTGCAAGAGATATATCCATTAGTTGCTTCTTCCACTACCCCAAGTGGGGATCTGGCCTGCAACCCAGGCATGTGCCCTGACTGGGCATCAAACTGGGGACCTTTCAGTTCACAGGCTGGCAACCAATCCACTGAGGCACACCAGCCAGGGCTTGATCATTTACTTTTGATTACGTGCCCTTGTTTCAGCCAGGCTTGGTTCATGTAGGTCTCTCTAAATTTCAGCTGTATTTTTCTGAAACTAGATCTTACTTAGCGACTTTGGCTGGACCGCAGCCACTCAAATATAAAACATCTTCCAGGGTAAATTATTTCTACAGATTGTTATCTCATCCATCATGAGTTGATTCCTGTATTTTCACTGTCTCAAGGTAGGGGTCCTGCTAGTTCCTCTAACAAAATAGCTCAGGTCCCTCAAAATGGGAAATGTGAAGAGACTCTTCATGGGGTGAGGGGCCCCACAGGGAAACTGAACCTCAGAGATTCCTCTGTCCTTTGTCATCAGGCTGGTCTCTGGGGGAGGAGGTGGCTGAGGAAGAATGCGGGGTCACTCCTCAGACCATTCATTCTTCATTGAGCACCTTGAGGGCACAGGTTTTTTTGTCTGAGAGCCTGTTTTCTTATGGAGAGTTATTGTACTCGGAGTTCTGCAAGTGATTTGCTTTGCCTTTTATTATGGAGGATTAGGGTATAAAGGATGGTCTTCTGCTTCTGCTCAGCTGACTTTGACACTAGCCAGGGCCCTCCCTTGTTCTAAGTGGACCATGGAACTTGGTTTCTCAAAGTGATCCTCTCCCACCCTCTGCTTTTGGAAAAAGATGTGACCCTCCAGCCACACCAGAGGGAACCAGGCTCACAGTGGCCTGTGTCCTTTCCTGTAACAAGAACTGGATGCCTAGCTGCTTTATCATAACACCCCCCACTGACAACCAGTGACAGAATAGTTTTCACCTGCCTTAACACCTAACATTCCTCTGGAGATTAGTTTTTCAAGGGCAAGCCCAGTTTTAATCTACTCTTGCTCTCTAAGAATGAAGTCCGACTCCATGTGGACAGGCTGGCACTTCTACCTTCTGCCCTTTGGGTAAGCAACTATAGATCTGTCTCTGTTTGTTTCCACTCAGTTCCCCTCCTTACCCTCACAGCCTTTGATACTCTTTTTCCATCTTTGCCCAAAGAAAAAATGACTAAAACTGAAGACTCAATAGTATCACTTTATTCAGGAAATAATCAAATACAATAAAGGGTTGACACTGAAAAAATAGCTGTGCATAAAATTATATAAATCAGATACATTTTGCAGAAGAGATTCAGTCATTGTAAACAGGAAGAGGAACCAGAAGGGTGCCCAAATGACTGCAGTGTTTCCACCAAGCATCCCGCATGCCCTTAAGTGAAGACGAACCCAGGCGGAGGTGCTCCTTTTAGCAGGAAGAGGAGGAGGCAGCACCAGTGCACAAGCCATGCCTCCTGGCCAGCCAAGTTCAGCAGTAGGCCTTGCTGAACTCCTGGAGCGCCCAGCGCTTGTTCTCAGTTGCTTGCTTGAGTTGGGTGTACTCTTTCACCAGCCTGTCAAACTCCTCTCCAAGGACCTCATAGGTGTTTAGGACCTGTTGGGACTTCTCCACGTCCTGTTCTTGTAGATGAATGGCTGCCTCCAAACGGTCCCTAAGAGCCCGGGCACAGAAGATACAATATAAGGATTTGGCTCCTCAGAAAGTAGACAAGAATGGGAACATGTTAAAATGAGTGAGTCTTGAGAGTGTGGGAACCAGCTCTGAATAGCTGTACCAAACTTTCAGTAGTTCTCACCTAATGAGACGATGAACTTCCACTTTCTCAGCAGTGTAAGTGTCAGACAGAATCTTTAGCTCCTCCATCCTGACAGAGGAAAGAGAAATGTGAAGCTGAGGATCCCTGATAGAAACAGGGTTAGGAATGGGACATAGTAGGTGGTCAAAGGTGTGAACTAAGCAGTGACAAATTAAACAAGGGCACTCTGAATTCCTGAACAGTTTACCTCATAGTCAAGTATCTATTTCAGAAAGCTTTAAAATAAAAGAATGAAGAATGTTGAAAGCTTTGGGGTAATCTGAAGGCTAATAAAAATAACATTTACTGGATCCCCACAAGGAAAGTGAGACAAGGGCAAGGGTTGCAGGGGTGGTTTGTCCCTTAGATCCATAGGGGTCATAACTCACCTCAGCTTAAGGATCATGGCACTGCACTTAATTTCCAAGTACTGGGCATTGATGCGGTCTAGCTCAGACTGAGTCTTTAGCCGGTGCTCTTGAAGAAGTCTCTGCAGTAAGGCGAGGCAGCGGAGAAGCACCTGAGCCCCCAGGAGGCAAGAGGAAGAGGGTGTAAGGAAAAGATAGTAGAAAAGAAAGCAAATCAGAAGTCCCTGTCTTCCCTGAAAGTGTCCAGGGGTCAGAGTGAAAGAGAAGAGGCTATCCCACCGCTAGACAAACCTGGGAGTAGGCAGCACTCTTCTTCTCCAGCAGCACCATCTGCTCCTTCTGCTGACTCTTGGCATCCTGGCACTGCTGCTTCTCACTCACCAGGACCTCTGCCAGTTTCCATACCTTTGCTGCCTTCAGGGTTTCACTGTCTGAATCTGGGCAAAGAGACAGCACTGATTGGACAGGAAACCCCTAACTGCTATGGCCCTTTGAAGGCCATTTTTCAGTGCCCCTATCCTACTTCTAGTCCTAGAAATTCTGTCTTCTTCCAGGTTTTCTTCTATTGCCCTGTTAAAAATGGACCAGTTCTCATAATTATGTTCTCTTCACTCTTACCTTTAATTCCACATTTGGCCCTTAGTCCTTAAATTATAGAAATTAAAACAAGGGGAATACCTATTAGCCTGTACTTTCCTCCATATTCCATTCTGAGTCTTGTGTAAACAAACTCATCCTTCACTGCAGCAAGAGGACACTCCAGCTTGTCACCTTCCTGAATAGAAGGGGTTCTCACAAAATTCCTTAGTTTTGTTCTACCAGCAAGGAAACAAACATCTCCAGTGTCTCCTATGCTTCCCAGATTCTATTCCAAATCTAAAATTTAAATACATTGTTCTCATAAGAGCCGCCCAAGAGCCCTGAGGGCCAGCTGTGAACAGAACACGGAAAGTCAGCACTCACCTGAATTGGGGTCATGGTAGCAGAGCAGAGTGAAACATTTCTTCTTGAGCTGCTCCTCCACTTCAAGTGGGAGCCGGGCTCTCATCCACACAAAATCCTGCAGCCACAGAAACAAAAAGAGAGATACGAGTAGGCTGGCGGAACTGGGAAGACCAGCCAGTGCATACATGAGGACAACAATCTCAATGATAACCAAAGGAAATGCATTAAGAGACATCAGGGAGACATTTTCAAAAATTTTTTTAATGCTTTTAGTAAGGATGTATATAAAAATAAAATTATCAGGGCAAATCATCAGAGCACTGTTTATGATAGCAAATGCCTAAACAGGAAGATGCATTTTAGCCTGTCAAATTAGCAAAGAATAATATGACTGTCAAAATCCCATATTGATGAAAATGTGGGGAACCAGGGGCACCTGAAAACACCTTTTGGGAAAAGTTTGGCCATATGCACCAATACGTTCTATGTGTGGTATCCTCTGACCCAGTGACCCTATTTTGAGCACTGATACTGGGGAAATATACAAGGGCAAAGACACATATATTCACATCAGTGTGATCTCTTACAGCAAAAATGTAAAAATTTCTTTAATGTCCATCAATAAGGATAAACAAATTGTGTTATATCATACAATGGAATCCTGTCTGTTATTTAAACCCATGATATAATAAGAATACTGAGCACTATGTGCCTGGATACCATGCTGAGTGCGTTAGGGGTTATCATCTTATTTACATTTATTGATCAACTTGAAAAGAAGGCCAAAATATATTAAGTGAAAACAGATTATGTTCTCTATACAAGCAAGGAGGGTATAACACTATTTATGTCAAGCTGCATTTTTATATTTAATTAATTTTTTAAAAGATTTTATTTATTTATTTATTTTTTTGAGAGAAAGATTAGAAGGAAGAAATAGGAGAAAAATCTTGATTGGTTGCCTCTTGCATGCCTCCAACCAGGGACGGGGCAGGCAACCCAGGCATGTGCCCTGACCAGGAATCAAACTGGTGACCCTTTGGTTCACAGGCTGGTGCTCAAACCACTAAGGGGCACCAACTAGGGCAACATGTATATTTTTATAAAAACAATAAAACTTAACAAAAGAAATGTTCAAATATATAGGGACAATTAAGCTAATATTGGTTCATCCCCAACCTCTGAGGGGGGCATGCGCTCCAGGAGGTCTGCTTTCTCCAGTCCCAGCAGTGGAGGAGTCTCCCTCTCCTGGCTGGGACCTAAGAGCTGTGCTAGTTCAGTCACAAGTAGCCGCTGTTCAAGGGTCTCATGAAACTAAGAGAGAGAATAAAAACAAAAAGAGGTTACTCTAAAATTTTTCACTCCATCTCTTCCATCCTCATGAACCTGTTCACACATTTTCCAAGTCCTCAAATATATCATCCCCTTCAGATAACTTCTCAGCTGGCAGTGCCTTCTCCTGTTGATCTTTCTCTTCAAAATGGACTGTAATTATGTCACCCACCTCTCCCCCCATAAATGAAGTCCATTTCTTTTTGATAAGTCATTATGTGAAGCTTCTTCTTCCCCCAGGTCATATAATTATATGAAGCCATAGTTGGCCTGCTTATTCCTGTGGTAACCAAACCCTACTTCATCTCTCCTACCTCACCTTTTTGTCCTCAGAAGTTAAATTTGTATCTTGTATCTTCACATAGTAGTCCACAAGCAGCTCTTGAATTACTCTATGTAAAACCTCAGACCTCAGCCATGTTGTCTTATGCAGTCGAACTTCCTTCCATGCCTGGAAAATCAAAAATAGCTCAAGAAGGAACTTTTCTCTCAGAAGATTTTTTCCTTCCTTCTATCATCCCTTCAACCAGGGCCCTTACCTGAGCCTGCTCCTTTGCCAGGGAGAGACTTAAGCCACTCTCGTCCACATGTTGTGAGAGACTCAACAGCAGTTTGCTGAAGTGTGGGTTCTGTAACAAGTCCTCTTCACTCAGGTTACAAGGAGGAAGCTGTTTGCTGCACACTTAATGGGATGTCCCCCATTGGGACAAAAAGCAAAGAAGGTATAGACTCTTAATTTATATAAATGATCATAACTCTTAGCTTAATAGTCATTTCTAAAAAAAACCCTAGGTTTTTGGTAGAGAAGTTTTCTAATTCTAATGAAATTAAAAAATAGAGACCTGGCTGGTGTGGCTCAATGGATTAAGTGCTGGCCTGCAAACCAAAGGGTTGCTGGTTCGACTCCCTGTCTAAGGCACATGCCTGGGTTGTTGGCCAGGTCCCCAGTAGGCGGTGCATGAGAGGGAACTACACATTGATGTTTCTCTCCCTCTCTCCCTCCCTTCCCCTCTCTAAAAATAAAGAAATAAAATCTTTTAAAATTTTTTCAAAACCAAAAAAATTAAAAAATATATATCCACAAATAAATAGAGGCAATGCTCAAAAGAACAAGCATTATATTATATACAAGGGCATTAATCAAGAATTAGGAAGTGAGTCTTTAATAAAAGTAAGATCTTAGAAAATGGAAACACAGCTGAAGAGTATGAGACAAATTGAAATCAAGAATAAGGGACCCTTTAGTAGGGATGAGCCCAGTAACCAAAATGTCTCAGACACACAGAATAACTACAGTTCTTCAGGAAAGGGGAAAAAAAACACCACATGCGAAGTTCCAACTTTGGATATAATCTCTACTCTTATAAGGAAGTCTGAACATATACTCTTCTTAAAAGTAAAAAATTTAACTGACCAAATTTTCTCCTTGGTGTAAATAGAGCTGAGTAACCCACAGGGATGCAGAACAACATATGCATGACAAAAAGTCAAGAACATATGGGATCCTGTTGTAATTCCATATGTCTGAGGGGCTTTCTTTTTTACTCCCACTTACCAAACATTCAAATTCTCATTCTTTGGACTACCAAACCCAAAGTCCTTTTAAAGAAAAAGAAATCTCTTTTTTTTTCCTCACAAGGCAGAAGGATCAATATGAAAATGGTCAAAATATAGAAGATTCAAGTTCTTGAAGGATTCAAGATACAGAAAGGACTTGAGATATGGAAAGGATTGAACATATGGAAGGATTTGAGATTTTGGAGACAAGATGAAAAAATTCAAGACACAGGTAGGAAGAAAGCCTTTAAGGAGTTTTCTAGCTACCCTTATCTTCTGAATATGTTTGTTCACACAGCATGGAAGCATCTTGAGTTTTTATTCTACCATACAAGCATATACTAAACAGGAGTCAGTGTAATCTGTTTTCTAATAAGACAGTGTTTGAGAATCTTCATGTATCCTAATTTTCCTAGAAATATGAGAGGAACAATGCTGGTGAACATTATAAATCCTTTTTTTTTTTTTTTTTTAATAGAAGAACCTGGATAAAACCTCTCTGGATAAGTCATCAAATCTCTTGCAAAAAGCTTGGCTGGTGTGGTTCAGTGGATTGAGCACTGGCCTGTGAACCCCAGTCAGGGCCATGCCTGGGTTGTGGGCCAGGTCCCCAGTATGGGGTGCTCGAGAAGCAACCACACACTGATGTTTCTGTCCCTCTCCTTCTCTTCCCCTCTGTCTAAAAATAAATAAATAAAAACCTTCCAAACAAAAAAACAAAGCCTCTTACAACTGGCTATCCCTACCTTGTTGGAGTATTTCCATCCCCTCTCCAGGTGAGCAGAAATCCCCAGATGCCATCTGATATTCTTATATTTGGAATCAAGAGAGAGAAAACAAACAAAAAAATGAATAAACTGGCTGGCTGCTCCAGAGGAAACTACCTTGGGTTCAAATTTCTATTGTCTACAAGCTGGGGAGGACCTTCAGGGATGCCTCTTAAAAGGAAGGGAGTATATCACACATCCTGGGTCCCAAGCTCTCATACATATTTTATAGACAAACTGACTTATCAGTGGCAAAACATTTTGCATTCTAAACATGTAAATGTTTCCACTTATTATAAGCTGCCTAAAATGGAGCTTTCTTAGGCAGGAAAACTTTCCAACTCATTAGTCTAATGCAGGAGGGTGCCCCCTATCCCCACATTATTTCTAAGCTAAAACTGAGCTGCTGCTTCCCAATTGTTCAAAATCTACTCCCCCCTCCATCACTCAGCTCTTAAATTCCACAATGATTTCTTGCACTTCTTTAACTTCTTTCCTCTAAGACGTGTTGGTAGTTTTTGATCATTAACTCCAGAAACCCCTTCCTGAGTGACAAATCATTCCACATTTGCACAACTGGTTTTCACATAACAGAATTAGTGAAGAGCACTCAGAAGAGTGCGACAAGATGCACAGGAAGGTCATCGCCAAAACAGTAATGCAAAGGTGTAGTTAACGCAGTTGAGGCCAGGACATGGGCTATGGGTGTTTTGCCAGAACATAAAGTAAACTGAAAAGAATGACATCAACACAAAGGGGCAGTAGAGATGGGCAGTTTGGGCTCTGGAGACAATTTTTTTTCCTTGACATTATTTTCTCTTTTGCTGCTCCATCTTCTCCTCTCAGGTATCAAACTCCAAAGGAAAGCTGTGCCTCCCAGAGCAGAACAGACATATAAGGTTATTATGATTTAACACTTCGTGTTCACGGAGCATTTGGTTTACTCCTGCATTTTATTAGTAACATCAAAGGAACTACTCATTTGTTTTGTAACATGGTCTAGAGCAGAACGCAGCTAAGGAGTCAGAATGCTAGACTTAATTTGTAGTTCTGCCGCTGTTAGCGAATTTGAGGGAAATTTTTTTTTGTGTGTTGTGTGCCGAACTTCTTTCCACCTGCAAAACTGAGATAACAATTCCTGTCTTGGAGAGACATTTTAAGAATTAATAACACAATCTACTTGTTAAAAGCCACTACTTAGGTAAGCTCAGTGTTTTTGAAATTCTGTTTATCGTTGATCTAAGCCTGAAAATAAAAGTTCTGCAGTCAAGTTTCATACACGAAAGTGAGGACCACCCTAAATTTCTAAAAAGTGAGTGTTACTGACTCCCTAGGGGAACTGCCCACTTGATTTTTTAAAAAAAAATTTTAGTTATTTTTCAAGTACATTTTTTTGTCTCCACTTGAATATTTTTAATGGTGATTTTCTTTACCCTTTTTAAATGTTACAGGGCGTGGACGACGGCGGCAAACAGGCTGGATTCTCCCTCCACCCTCTGCACTCAAACGTGTTAAAGCGCTGCTACAGCTACCCAAGTATTTCAATATTCTGACTCAGGCGTCTTTTAAATTCTTAGAGTTGTCTTTACACGCTGCACTGAACGTTAAATTGATTTTACAGGTATTTTCACAAGATGTGACCCTTATAGGGCCCGACATGAATCAAAATGCGGAGCTGGTTCTCCGGCTCCTACTTGCCTTCTGTCTGGGAAGCCGGTTTCCCAAGGCCGAAGGCAGCCTGAGACGCGGGATTAACCCTCCCAGGGCTCCTTTCCCCCCGCAACGCCGCCCGCCGACCCTGTGAAGCAAACCTGCACACCCAGGGGCGGCTGAAGCCCCAGGGGCAAGGCAGAGCGAGCTGGGGCGTCGACACCCTGGACCCCGCCCGCGTCCGGGGTCCGGAACTTCTCACTCCGGCCCGGCGCAGAGGTGGGGGAAACTAGGCTTCGGAGGACCGCTGGGTGAGGTCGGAGGGGAAAAAGCCGAAAGAACACGGGAAGTCGCTAGAGAGCGAAGGGGGCGGGGCCACGACCAAGGCGGGAACGGCAGGTCCCACCCCTCGCCGCGTCACGCCCTTAGACGCCCGCGGCCGCAGAACAGGAATTCGGAGTCGGTGGTAGGAAAGCCAGTGGTCTCCGGAAGGTTTCTGTGCACTTTCTCCTGGGTACCTATCTCACGTTGAGGGCGAACGTTGATAAAATGGTAGTGATTGCCAACTACTACTGAGGGCCTCTGACGGGTCAGGCACTGTGCGGAGCATTTTACTTGCCTTGCTTCTCCTCATTTACAGCGTCCTAGGAAGTCACTATCAGACCCATTTTACTGAATGGAAACTTAAGGCGCAAAGACGTCAAGTGACTTCTTCAGGGTGGCGCTGGCCCAATGTTAAGGGTTGAAGCCTGACCCAGTGGCCCTTTGAACCTTCTCAGAGCTGCCGCTCACCTCTACCTGAGTCTCCTCACTCAGGCGCTGCCCACTAACTCTGTCCCCTGGGTGGGCTTCTCCAAATTCCTCTTCCAAGCTTTAGCTCTCACCCTTCATTCATCTCTCTCTTTCCCTCTTAAATATATTGACATTTATTGTTTGCTTAATGAGAAGTCTGGAGCTGAGGGTGCAGAGACTTCTCGGCACATGCCAAACAGGAAGGGAGGAGAAAAGGCATTCTTCCTATAACAGTAAGGCAAGAAATTCATTACCAGAAGCACCCACCAGACTTTCCCATGTTTCACTGGCCAGACTAGAGGTGACCTGCCCACCTCTAGACCAATGAACTGGGTATCTTCCGTTTGCCCCCCACCCCCAGATCCATATTTTGCCCTTTAACACCCTGTGTAGCCGGTAGGACTACTTGTAAGGATCTCAAGGTCACCATATTCCCTGACTGGTTTTAGCCTAGGGGTATCCCAGGAAGAGGTTGGAGGGAGAGAGGCAATGATGGAGGAGGGAGACAATTTCCCTGACTTCCTCCATGGGCTTAACCTCAGGTTGGCTAGGGACTTCAACCGAAGGTTGTTGTTCCTCTCAAGGGGGTCCCCCCACCTTCTGGATGCCTTAAACCCTACCACCATCTTCTTTCCAAAGTTAACTGAAATCTGTCATTAGGTGAATTATTTCAAAAATAATATTTGATGCTAAGTAAATTGCACCAAGGTATCAAGTCTCTTGCATCAGAGGAGAAGCTGATAGTCTAGCTGACAGGGAAGGAATCAGTCTAGTTATGCTAGGTGGTAGAGTTTAACCTTTTCTTTTAGTACCAACTAGAGAATTATTCTAGCAATACATAGAATAGTGCAATCCAGTGCAGAAATTTTATATCCCTACTCATCTTGTCAGCTGTCACCTTTCATGCTTAATACTAAAGTGCTGTCATTTTCTGAGGCTTTTAAAAATCATTTATGCTTCCTCAGCTCTGTAGTGCAGCATCATTAAATATCAGTCATAATGCCCCTAACAAATGGCACTTGGGAAAAATAGGAGGCATGTTTGGATGACTCAGGGCTGATCAGGAATCTACTGAAATTTCATGTCTCATTTTGTCAAGTTTTTTAATATGGTACTACAAAGCTTTGGCTAAGCAGATCTAAAGTATTTGGGAAATGAGGAGGTGAAGGATGCAATGGCGTATCTTCAGGTAGAAGGGTAGAGTCAAGAGTCATGGGAAGCCTTGAATAGGATCAAAGCTTCAAATGAGATTATCTGTCCCATCTCAGTCTCTGACAAACTGAGTGACCTGGAGCTTCAGGTTCCTTATCTGTCAAATGGAGGAAATAACATACTTTTTAGCTCCTCCAATCTCATAGTGTTGATGTAATGATCAAATGAGATAATGGCTGAGAAAGTAACTTTGGAAAGACTATCAAAGTGAGGTGATTTAAAGTTGACACATATTAAGCACTTATTAAGTGCCTTGGGAGAGACATAAAAATAATGTATAACCCAATCCCAGATCTGAAGAGGTTCAGAATCTATTGAGAAGATAAGACATGCACAAGAAAAGTGAATAAGCAGCAAAAGTTGTCAAAGGAGCAGTTTAGATTATAAATACTAGAGAAATTTGAAGAAGGTACAGAATTCTGCAGGAATGGATTGGGAAGACTATGAAATATATCTTAGCTAGTCCTGAAAGGAGAGAAAATCTGGATCAGTTAGAACAGAGGAAACATCCGAGCAAGTAGATTTGGAGACAGAGTCTAAGTTGCATTCTGGGTCCAAGAAGAGACCGGACCAACTGAAGTGATGGATTTCATAGGCCAGTTCTGCATAAGACTAGAAAGTTGAGCCAAGACACCATCCTGGCAGTTAAAACTGAAGCAAAATACTGAAAAAGGATTTTATCATCAGATACCATCTGGTGTCCTTGAGCAAGAAAAAACTGCATGAATCCATAGAATTCATTCTCTTTCTTCCCATTCCTACTCCCCCACATTTTTGTTCTGGCTTTTAAAAAAAAAAAGCTTTACTGAGATAGTTTGTCATACAGTATCTGAAGTATACAGTTCATTATGTTTTGACATAATGATACATCTGTGAAACCATCACCAGAACCCATACAGTGAACATGTGCATCATCCCCTGTTTACTTTGCTCTATTGTAACTCTTCTCTCTGGCGATTCCAAACCACTGCTCTGCTTTCTCTCACTATAGATTTGTTTGTATTTTATAGAATTATATATAAATGGAGTCTTTGGTTCATTTCACAGCATGATTAGTTTTGAGATTCATATATGTTATAGCTAGTATCAGTAATTCATTTTTTAAATTCATGTCTTTATTGCTGAGAAGTAGTGCAGAATCCACTTTAAAAACTTTAATTTGAAAAAAAAAAAACAAACCTTAATTTGTTTGGGTTTGTGTTTAAGGAGGTGCTTCCTCCAAGATTCCATGGTTGCCCATCACAGTGCTTGGCATACAAAGGCACTTATTTGTTGAAAGAATGAATTTCTGACCACTCCCAGAGTGCTGATATCGTGTATGGTTGTTTTTGTTGTTGTTCTGTGGAATGCTTGGCCTTTATTACCCATCTCTTCAACAGTGTTGTTCCTCTCACTTTCTGCTATGCCACATGCAAAATACAATCACTCACTTGTTAAATGTTCTTTAATGATAAAGCCAAGAACACGCTCAGGTATTCCCGAGCTAAACTCTTGTGTGGGGTTGAGGGGGTATAAAAAGATGAATTAGGCATAACTCCAGCCCACAATCCACTACCTTCTTGAAGATGTTGCTCTTGACAAGTATTTTTAAAATATCCATGTATGTTTTTTTTCATGTATTTGTTTTTTGAAAAATGTAAATGGGAATCTGAGAAAAAGTGTACTTAACCTTTCAAACTCAGACATTCCTTTGCTGCATTTTTAGAATTTCAGAGAAAATCCCCAGCTGGTGTGGCTCAGTGGATTGAGTGCTGACCTGAAGACTGAAAAGTAGCCTGTTTGATTCCCAGTCAGGGCACCTGCCTGGGTTGCAGGCCAGGTCCCCAGTGGGGGTGTGCGAGAGACAACCATTCTATGAATCTCTCACACATTGAGGTTTCTCTCCCTCTCTTCCTCCCTTTTCTTCTCTCTATAAATAAATAAATTTAATCTTTTAGAAAAGAAACAATTGCAGAGAATTGCTGAGACATTGCAGGGACTCTGTCTCCCACACTCTATCCAGGAAACAAAATAATGCTTTGAAGATAGAGATTTCAGGTGAGTATTTAGCATTCTACTTGTCAAATTAATAGAAACTTTTGAGTAGACTATGCCTCACACTGAAAACATAGGCTTAAATAACCAGTTTCAAAGGTAGGAAGTTAAAATAGCCATTGGACTGTGGAACCACACTTTAAAAAAACAAAACACCACTTCAAAAGTATCTGAAGACAAGTAGCAGGAATATATGATATTTTAGACCCAGACACTAGTTTCAGGAATTAAAAATTTCACAGGCAGTCAGGAGATTTTAGATTTTCAAGGATGTTCACTGAAAAATAAAGGTATTCAGAGTCACAGCTATTGATAATTGAGCTGGAAAATTTCATGCCCATTGTTAAGTACATGATTTAAAGGGATAACCAAGTAGGTGGACAATATGTAATCAACCTATGACATCAAATGAAAATTTTAGAACAAATGTCCATAATGTGCCATTTTTGCAACTGCTTAACCCTTCCAAGGGATTTCAAATCCAGACCCTAGTGGCTTCAAGGGTTGCCTGCCTGTTGATGGAAACTTTTGTCGTACAATCTGGAATAAGCCTGATTTTACTTTAAGACACTATTGTGAACAAGGACATAAACAAGACTCAACAGGGAATTTTAGATTTGAAAGAAAAGCTGAGAAGTTTAGCTTCAAAAATAGGACAGATTGAAACAATTTTTACCTAAGGAATATGAGACAGTGAAGGAAATTAATTCAGAAGAAGACTACTAGTATCATTTTGAGAAGCTAGATATAAAACACAAGGTGTGCAGTCCTTGTTATAACAACTGAGTGTCCTGCTGTAATGCGAGAACATGTGCCAGGCTGCTAAGTATGGATTTTAAACTGATGGTGACACTTTTATACTGAGTTGCATGTGAAATAGATTTTCACCTTTAAAAATTATATTAGAAGCAGTGGTAGAAATAGACCAACCAGAGGGCATGTGGAGTTTCAGCTTGGAAAGAACATAATATTGTAAATTTTGAAACTCAGCCTATGATTAAGGTATTATGACAAAAAATAAAAACCTTAAAGCCTTAAGGATGTTAGCAATTTAGTATTTGCAAGAGAGAAATTTTGGTAAACTATAGTATGCAAGCATGGTAGCTAGGTAGATGAAGTATCACATCGGGGTTTCCCATGACTGTGTTGCCTTATTTAAAAAACAAAACAAAACAAACCCAGGCACAGCCCTGACTGGTGTGGCACAGTTAGTTGGGTGTCCTCCCACAAACTGCAAGGTGGCCAGTTCCATTCCTGGTCAGGACAGATGCATGAGTTGCAGACCCGGTTCTGGTTGGAGTGTGTGTGAGAGGCAGCCAATCAATCCTCTCTCACATCGATGTTTCTCCTTCCCTTCCCCTCTCTCTAAGAATAAATAAATAATTCTTTTAAAAAAAGTCACAGATAATTCTGAAGTGGATGCTTTTCTTGGTAAGTTAATTTATTGGTACCTTCAAATGATTAGTAATGAGAGGTTGTACAGATGGGGAGGTCATTCAGTTCATCCAAATCAAGGGTTACTTACTCAGATGCCTGTGGGATCTAGGCAGGTAAGCGACTTGTGAAGTGTACAGAAGAAGGAATGGTAGGGACTGTGACAAACAGTCCTCTCTCTCAGAGGTAGGGACTGTGACTACCATTCTCTCTAAGGAGAGAATGCACCGAATAAAGGAGGAGCCATCCCTTCGTTCCAACCAATTGCTGCCATGTGGGAATGGAAGTCTAGAGGTGACAGATATGATTATTCTAAAAGCCTTAGAAACCCAGCTCTTCATATACAATACACAGATTTTTATGTGAAGTATCCTGAATTATCAATGTTGGCAACCAGTTATTTTCTTTGCAATAATTTACTACAGAGGCAGTACACATGAATTGTATAAAAATAGAAAATGCAGGCTAACAAACATATTCTCACCATAGATTACTTTAGTGTGTGTCCTTTCAGATCACTTTTCCATAAATACACAGACACTGTAAAAATAAAATATGATTACCCTCTAATATATGGTTTTGGAACTAGTGTTTGTTAGTGATTTTGACCTTTTAAAAAATTATGCTTATTTTATTAACTATGCTATTACAGTCTTCCCAATTTTTCCCCCTTTGCCTCCCTTCACTCCACCCCCCTGCTACTCCCTCAGGCAATCCCCACACCATTGTTCATGTCCATGGGTCATGGGTATAAGTTCTGTGGCTACTCCATTTCCTATACTGTACTTTACATCCCCATGGCTATTCTGCAACTACCAATTTGTACTTCTTTTTTTTTTTTTTTAAAGATTTTATTTATTTATCTTTAGAGGGGAAGGGAAGGAGAGAGGGAGAGAAACATCAGTGTATGGTTGCCTTTCGTGCCTCCTCTGCTGGGAACTGGCCTGCAGGGAACTGGCCTGCAACCCAGGCATGTGCCCTGACTGGGAATCGAACTGCGATTGTCTGCTTCACAGGCCCGAGCTCAATCCACTGAGCTACACCAGCCAGGGCCAATTTGTACTTCTTAATCCCCTCACCTCTTCACCCATTCCTCTCCATCCCTCTTCTATTTGGCAATCATCAAAAAGCTCTTCGTATCCATGAATAGTCTCTGTTCTTCTTGGGTTGATGGAGTCTCAGATGTGGCACCCACCTGCCAGCTTGTGGCTCTGCCCACCTATCTGTCTGGGAGAAAGCTGTCCCCCAGCTCTTGCCTTGAGGCCAGACACTTCAGTTTCTCTCTATATGCCACTGGTGACTTTCAAGATCCTGGTGCTGGAGCTCAGAGGGAATGAGTCTGAATAGTTTCTTTAAGAGGAACTGCTTGGGATTCCAGAAGTTTCTTTCACTGACTCAATCCCTGATGGTTTTTACAGCCAGAAGTTATGGAGACTTATTTTCTTGGCACTGGTACCCTGGGCTGGGAGGCCTGGTGTGGGGCTGGGACTCCTCATTCCCAAGATATCCCTCCTGAATTTTTACCCACCACACGTGCATGTGGGACCAGCCTGTTCCACATCTTCACACCTTCTACCAGTCTGGATGGATGTGGTTTCATTAATTTAGTAGTTGTCAGGCATCCATTTCACTGATTTCTGCCAGTTCTGAGTGACTGTTATGCTATAATTTAGTTGTAATTTTGATGTGGTTGTGCAAGATGGTGAGCCATGTTTACCTATGCCACCATCTTGATCAGAAGTCTTAATAATTTGCACCTCATCTAATCTTATCCGTTAACAATTTTCCAATTGACCTCAATTATCTTTTATAGCAAACTTTTTAATATGAAATTCAGGACCATGCATTATGTTGTTATTATCGTATTTTTTGGACTATAAGATGCACTCCCCCCCAAATTTGGGAGGAATAATGGTTGTTAATGCTGCTGTTGAGTTCTGTTTACATTTACATTAGTGAAATATTATGTTACTTATGTTATTAAATATTTTATCACATTTTTTGCTTCAAAATTTTTTCCCATTTTTTTCCTCTAAAACCTAGGCATGTCTTATGGTCTGAAAAATATGGTATGTACCTTAAGTATCTCTAATTCTAGTAGCTTTGACTTAAAAAAAATCATACTGACTTGCGGAAGAGAGCTGGCCAGGTGCCCTACAGAATGCCTCACCATGTGGATTTGTCTAGTTGCTATCTCCCAGTGTCCTTTAGTTTGTTCTCTATCCCCACCATGTCCTGTAAACTGCAAGTTAAACCTAATAATTCTTTTTGGGGGTGGGAAGTCGCTAGAATATTTACTGGGTTGGGTTATGTATTTGCCTCCCACTGGAATTGGTCTACTGGTTAGTGATACTAAGACCCATTCTAGGAAACCAGTGACGAGAGTCTGATCCCTCCAACACAATTACACTTCTGGCCTCAAGATTAACCTGATAGTGTCACAATCAATAGTGTTACACTATTGAATATTCAGTTGTCTACCAACCATTTCACCTATGGTTTTAACATCAATTAATAATCTTTGCCAGATCAATAATTTTGTTAAGTTCACAAAATGCTGTTTGTCAAATTCTGTCATTCTTTATTTATTAGCTGGCATTTTCCTTTCAACTAGGGTTTGAATTAATTTTATAAAAAACAAGTGCCAGTGGGCCAAATTCAATGCGTTTGGCAGTGGGATTTAGCCTATGAGCCTCCGCTCTCTGATCTACGATCCAAGCCAGACAAAATCTCACCCCTGTCATCTGTACCCTGCAGTATTAGGTCTTTTGTTTGTAACACTCAATTACTTTGCATTTGTGGACATGTTGCTTGTAATCCTCTGAAGGCATTTTATGTATTTGTCTCCCTGGCTAGACTGTGACCTTCTCAAAGGCAGGGACTCTCCTGCAGTATATTTCCTTTGCTTCTACTAATGTGCTTTTAAAGTTATTTTGGCTACTGCTAATTCTAATTAACAACAACAAAAAGCACTAAGAAAAAACAAATGTTTTCATCACTGTTTTTTGTGTTCCCTGGCTTTCCTACTAAACTTTCCCTAAATGTATATCATAATGAAGTGCTCATCACACTTCCAGTTTACCTCTGCTGTGGGAATGCCTGTGATGGAGTGGGAGGAGAGAGGAAAAATAGGTTTTCTATTGGTCTTCGAAAGTGTCATCCCTCAGAGTTTCTATTTCTTCATTCAGTAAAATGAGGTGACTGGGTTATCTTCAAAGTCACACCTGGCTTGGCTCTAAGTCTCTGGGATACATACATAAGCAGTACCTTGTGGTATATTCCTCCCCGCCCATTGCACCCTGCTGACAGCACCTTGGCTCCCTTCACCATCAGCAGTATTCTTTCTAAGCTTAGGTGAAATAATACCCACAGGCATAGAATTTGCCTCTGATGACTCTCCTCCCATCACAGTTAGACTGGTCTAATCTACACATCCCAGTAAGTTTGCTCATATTTCCAAAGTCAAACCTTAGTTGTTTACAACTAGAGCCAAGTGTGGCTGTTTCAAGGGCCCTGTACAAGCAATTGTCATAGCGGAGGCCCAGTCTTAGGTCCTCTTGCTGCAAGGGAGGAGAGGATGCAAAGGGCTGAGACCGGTTGGACCTTTGTCCTTGTTGTGGAGCCTCACCATTAGGGCTCTGAATGACCCCAGGCCAGCTCTGAGGTATGGGTCTTTCTAAAAAAACAAAATGAAATAAAAATGCTTTAGCTCGCTTTTCTGAATGCTTTTATTTCAGTTCTATTGTCTCCTTCCTCTTTTTATTCCCTTCTGTAAAAAAAGGTACAATCTCAAGGACCTCTTCCAACTGGCTTTATGTGCCTGGAATTAGCTCTTTCCCTAGAAATAAGTCCGATAGAGAAAGACAAACACCATATGATTTCACTTATACATGGAATCTAAAGTACAAAATAAATGAACAAACAAAATAGAAAAACACTGTCCTCCCCCATGGCTGAGGACAATCTCCAGCCGGATTATGAATGGAGTCTCACCATTTCCTGACTTTGAGAGCTCCGGGTAGGGAAAGGGGAAACATCTCTAAGGAGTAAGGCAGAGAGCCACCACCAGCCTTATTTTTTAAGGAACTTTAAAAAAAATCCCCACTTGAGGATATGTTTATTATTCAGAGGTCTGAGAGAGAGAAGAGAGAAGAAACATTGATTGGTTGCTTCCCATATGCACCTCCACTAGTGATCCAACCTGCAACCTAGGTATGTGCTCTGACCTGGAATCAGACCCACAACCTTTGGTGTACCGGACAATGCTCCAGTCAACTGAGCCACCTGGCCAGGGCCCAGCCTTGTTCTTGATAAACCACATTTCGGGCTGTGACAAATGGGACTAGTCAGAGCAAAAAGCCAAAGTCATCTATAAAAGCCTGATCCCTGTCCTGTGACTCTAGCCTAAAAAAGACACAAAACAAATCCATAATTCTTCCATTTTCTCCCCTACCCCATCTTAGGCCTAGTGGGTGTTGATGGCAATCTGGTGGAGAGTTGCCAAACATGATCTACCTGTTGCTGTATCCTTGGCAACACCCTATTAATTTTTCACTATCAACTGTAAACATTAAATACAACTATTAAGGATGAGCTATCTCCCAGTGAGTAGGAAGAAGAGCTGTCAGTGGTGGGGGTAGCTGGGGCTGTGATTCTGACATGGCTTGCCTTCCCTGAGTCTGTCTGTCCTCATCAGATGTTAGCACTGTTTTTCCTCAGGAAAGAAAGTAGCCACAGTGGTAAGAACAGTGTTGGTGAGCATAGAAAAGAATCAGCCAGTCCAGCAGCAGATGGAGGTCAAAATCAGACTAAGAAACAAAGGGTCAGAATGACAGAGTAGACAAGACCCCAAGAGTAAAGAAAATACTGAAGGGATGGATATAGTTACACATGCTTCTGTGGATCTCCCAGGCCTGGAGCACCCTGCTGAGAAAATTTCCCAGTCACAGAATCTAATAATAATAGTTACAAGTAACTCCAGCTGTAGAACGAGTAGTCTAGTGTCAGCACATTTATTCCTCTGAAGTGCATTTGCCCCTCTGGTATGAATCTGAACTCCTACTCACTCACTTTCTCATTGAGGACTCTTCTGTGCAATTCCCAGGATGGCTGGCATGGTCCTCTTAGAATAACCGCTAAATGTGTAATTTTTAATTTTATTTTAGAGAGAAACACGGGTTTTGTTGTTGCATATATTTATGCATTCACAGCTTGCCTGTAGTATGTGCCCTGACTGGGGATTGAATGCACATGCTTGGTTTATCAGGATGATGCTCTAACCAATTGAGCCACCCAGCCAGGGCTTAAATGTGGAATTTCTATTCTCAGGAGTCATTATTTACGTTATGACATTCTAAGTGATCAAGAATGAAGACTAAAGATTCAAAATTGTGAGATTAATTTGCCTAAAACCAATTTATCTAAAGACAGTCTAAAATATTTATCAAATCTGCAGCATTCTCAAAAGGATTTAGCAGATTCACCCCTCCACTTTATATTACTGTTGTCTTATAACCTTGAATTGTTAGTCAACTGCATATGCCACGTGCCTGTTCATTCGTTTAGAATATATTGGCATTTTAACAGCATGGATATGGAAGTTAGACCAAAGCATAAAATCATATTGAGCTTTGTTGTTACATTTTTCAAGGCATCTAATTTGTAAAGGAATATTGGGTTAAGAAACACAAAAAATGATACACAAAATGTTTGTACCAATTATATTTATTACTAGAAATTTGAAGTTTTAAAAAAGTGTTTGAAAAGTAGGTAACATAGCGACAGATACCCATAAAGGTAGCAGGAAGCAATTTCATCATTTACATATTGCTGCAAATTTGATAAATTGATGTTGCTGATAATTCAGTACTCTTGGATGAAGAGATATAAACCTTTGAAATACTCAAAGCATGACAAAAAAGAATAGAACACCTAAAAGGCTAAACAAACAACCCAAATGGGATTTGAACTTTTGGCAAAAGTGGTTGAAAATTTAAACACAGGTTTTCAATGAATTGATTTTAAGAGATCTAGCTTTAGGTGAACCAATTTCAGCCAAACTGACTAGAACCAAGTCAAAGTGTTTTGGCCCTCTGGCTCCCCAGAACCTCCGAGTTCGGGAATTGCAATAGATATAATCCTGGATCCTTCTGAAAGGTGGCAGCTCTGGAGTAGTGAGTTACTGCTAGGCAACCAAGTGTAAGAGTGACCTGAGAAGAAGGGAAGTGAGTAGGTGTGTGGGAGAATATGCCAATGGGTGCACATACTGGGGGGAAGGGCTCAGTGCACTTACACCTAGGGAGCGTGGATAGCCTGAAGCTTCCTAAACATCTCCCCCAGCAACCTCACACCCAGAGACCCACTCATTACCTCCTCCCCCAGCTGAGAAGAGGAACCAAGAACAGGCACCCCAGGCCCACGTGAGTCCCTGAGAAACAGGCAACACAGGCAGCAGGCCCACCTGGAGCTGGTCTCCACTCCCAACAGAGAGGTGAGCAGCTTAATCCTTGGAGAGAAGGTGGCCAAGAAGTAACTCATTAACAAGGCCCACCTCTTCATGTAGATACAGAAATAAGATACTGTGGTGTGGTAAGAACTTGGCTGATCCCACGTCTGACCCCATGTGTGGGGCACAAAACAGTCAGGAGCTCCCATGATGTCCGTTCTTCCTATAATCCAGAACCAGAACACTGCATGATTTATGCACAGATGTACACTGGAGATCAGACTAGAATCAGACCTTTAGAGTATACTGGAACCTGCCTGTGTGTGCCTAAGTATATGGTACAGCATAGGTTGCACATGTGGAAAGAAGGCCAGTCACCCCAACAACGGTAACTGGAAGGTTCCTCCTCCACAATCCATTTGGAATGTCATGATCTTTGGGTCTCTGGCCGTTGGGGTCCTCCCCAAGGGACTCTTCTGCCAGGCCTGCAAAGTACATCCTTTGCCTCATATGGCCTCAGGGGGGCCCACTGGCCAGAGGAATTTGTCGAGGGTGGTGATGGCAGCAGCAGCGACTACAGCTCAGATATAGTTGGCAGGGAGCTGTCGAGCACTGAGCCGCTGCATGTGACAGCTGTGGCAGAGCAAGTGCCCATCCAGAGGGAAGCAGCAGCAGCCTTCCTCATCACTCAGCTGCATCCGGCAGTCCTAGGGAAAGAGGACATCTAGTTGACCTCAGCCCAGGCACCTTGGAAGTCTGCCATTCTCAACACCAGACTTCTAATGACTAGGAGAAAAAGGATGAGTGGGAACAGACTCCCAGAATAGAAACCAGGGAAAATACCTCAGCTGGACACCAGGTGTCGCTGCTATAGTAGAAATAATAAGGCTCCATTTCCAGAGGATACCAGGAGGCCCTATAGTTTTAGGAGTCTTATAAGTACTGCGCACTAATCGATTATGCCACTGGAGCTCAAGTTTTAGGAGTCTTGACTTTAGGGAAGCCAGATTCAGAAAGGACTAAACAACTAGGACCAGAGAGACTGGCTGGAGGATGAGAAAGAGACTGGAGATAGGTCAGAGCACCTTCCTAGTGTTCCATGCTCTATATTCTCCTTCACTCAAGTCCTAGGACTTGACTTCCTGGGCCCTATACCAATTCTCCTCCAGGAGCCCTAGCCCCCAACACTCACCTCACAGTGATAGCACTCAAAGTGATAATCTCGGTCCATGGATATCACCCTCACAATGTCCTCACAGCCCTGAAACAATGCAGACCCCCATGGGGATGAGAGCAGTATAACAACCCCAACTCCACCCTCCCCCATTCAGTCCCCTCCCCCCGCCACCCTAATTGGAAGAGCATAAAAAGGTCCCCAGAGCCTCTCTGCAATCCTCTGTAGCTTTCAGGTGGCTCGTGCAAGTCCTACTAAAACTTCTCCCTCCTTTTCTTTGGCCTCAGGGGTTGGCCTTCCTTACCTCTCCCAGCTGTAGGAGAAGTGAAAGGAAGGGAAAGGGGTAGGGTAAGCTGAGGACAAGGAGATCCAATAGGGTCTGATTCCTCATTGGGCTAGGCATGCCCTTAGCACACCCAGCATAATTCATTTCTAACCTCTTCCTACCAGCCCTGAGGGTTCTTCCCACCTTTTTCCAGCCCCTACATCTGGGATCTGGTGACCTTGACCTCAAAGAAAATCTCTTCCTTTGGATTGGGAGAGAAGAGACAGAGCCCAGGCCCAGTGAGGCTGCCAGACATGTCCAGGCACGGATGTTAGTGTCAGGGTGGTGACCCTGAGAGCAGAGTCACACGGGAATCTTCACAGAATACATTCCTCAGCCCCACTGTATCCCGCGGGAGTCCAGGCAGCATGTCCCCATCCCTTCCCCAGAGGCAGCAGCACTGGCTGCCCTGCAGAACCCAGACATACTGACCTCTGAGGGGAGGATGGGTTGGCCACAGGCCGCACATTTAGGAGCATAATTTCTGAAAGAGAGAGGGTGGGGATGAGCTGAGATTCAGAAGTCCCTAAGCCCTGTTCCATACCATACCCCAAGAGGAGGACTCACTTGTGGTAGTCGGTAACACAGTACACCTGGTTGGAGAAGTCTACAGTAAAGGGGATGCCATCTAAGCACTTGTTGCACACGATGCATCGGAAGCAGCCTGGGTGATAGGACTTCCCCATTGCCTGTAGGATCTGGCCCACAGAATGGGAAGAGAATCAGTCTCCCTCCAGTCCCAGCTCCCCAGCTCCCCATGATGTTCCCTGTTGCTCCCACAAAACTCACCCAACCCCCGCTATCCTCCCAGAACAATGCTATGACATCTGAGGCAACCAAGGAGTCTTAAAGTGGAGGCAGAAACCCTGGAGGCTTTAGTTAGAGAGGACCCAGCCTAGTGGGTCTCAGCCCTGCCTACATAACAGAATCATCCAGGGAGCTTTTAAAAACCACCAGAGCCTGGATCCCACCCCAGAAGTATTATCCAGGTGCGTTCACCACAGGCTCGGCTGATGATCCAGGCACCAATATTTTTCTTTACTCCTTCTCAGGTGATCTGCTAGGCTGCCAGGGCTGAGCACCACTGGTCCAGTTCAATCACTCTTTTACAGAAAAGAAAACTGAGTTCCAACTGATTCTAGCCAGTAGCAGAAAGGAGATTAAGACCCAGAACCCCATATTCCTAGCTCAGCTGGAGGGCCAGACTGTGCCTGCTGAATTAAGGAGAGGTCAGATCACACAGGTCTAGGGACAGCAGGATTAGGAGTCCAGACTTGATCTCAGAGGCGGAGAGGAGCCACAGTAAACAGCTGCTCTGGGGAAGAATGGATGAAAGTGACTCTCTGGTGGTACGTGCTGCCCGCCTATTCTCATTACTCCTTTAGTCCCTGACTCTACCCTTCAACCTTATAGAGTCTCAGCTGAAAATATTTTGCTTACCTTCTCCAAAATCAAATGACCACAGACACAGCACTTCTCAGCTGCCTCCTGAAACCCTGAAAACTAGAGACCAAGGGAGGATGTTACAAGCTGAGAATGACCTGATGGCTGGAATCTTAATGGGCTACAAAAATAAAGGTGCCAGTGTAGGAGTCAATTCTAAGCCCAGGGAGGGAATCCGTCTCACTCACCAGATAATCTTCCTCACAGTACACAGAGCCGTTGACGCTGTAGAAAGCCTTGCAGCGCAAAGTTCTCCCTAGAAGCAACAGAGAAGGGGCTGGAGCCTATTCTGGTATCCAGGAACAGGGCTTCTCCACTCAGTGCTCTCCAGTGTTGTGTGATGTATTTAAATCCTCCTAACTGCTGTCTGCCCTCTCTCCCCCAAAACAAACCTCCCCCATCTGATGCAATTCTAATCTGCTTTAGCCTCATTTTTGCCAGTCTCCCCTCTTCTCTGCTCACTGCTCCTCTAGTTCCTGCCTTCCTCTCCAGCACCCGGGGTGCACAAGGAGCCACTTGGGAAAGCAAAGCCAACCACAGGCTGAGCTGTGAAGAAGGTGGTGTACAATGCACAGAGAGATGATCACAATCACACTGCCACAGGCCTTGCCCTCTGGGACCTCTCGAACTAGGAGCAGAGCCTCTTTGCCTGGGCATAGCTATCCTGCTCTGCAAGCCTGATCTGTCGCCCTCCAGGGATAGGCTCTACGGAGGTCGGTTACTGCTGAGGACAAAGTGCTTTGTATGGGAGCAAAGTTGGTCGACTTTCCTGCTGCACTAGGCTGCTTCCCCAAGCATAGAGGGACTAAGAGGTTCCAGGGTCAGAGGCAGCTCAGGATCTCCTATGAGAAGAAAAGGCAGGACCATTTCCCAGGTAACCCACACCTAGGCACTACACCGGGGCACCTACACTGTCAGGAATGGGGGAGGAGTGAGACCAGGGTGGAGAATGGGTCTTTCTCCCACCTCTGCCCTCTTCTCATCAAAATCTCCACTCCCAGCTCTGCCCAGTGGTTAGAAAAGCTGACTTAGAAACTTACGGGACACAGGGGAGTAGAGAGGGAGAGAGATACCTGGAAGAGGCCCTATAAACAGAAGGACAGACAGATAGATGAACCTAAAGAGAACCAGGCAGAGGCTGGTGGGAGGGGGTGGAGGGTGAGAGAAAAGCTGAGCACTGGAGTCAGACAGGCAGAGATAGGAGATTAAGGGTTTAGCAAAGGAATCAGAGTGGGTAAGCAGTGGGGAGGAGATAATGAGGGACGTGAGAGAAGGGCTGGGGTGTTAAGGCCACTGGGAGCAGGTCCCCTCCCCCTGCCTCGGGCCTCCTGAGTTAACAGCAGGCATTCCTGGAGCGTGATGTCACCAGCTTGGCATGGCCCGGTGGCCTGCACTCTAGCGAGGTGGCTGAACTCTGACCAGCCAAGAGAAAACCCCCTTCGCTGCCCCCCACAGTCCCCCACTCCCCCAGCCCACCCCCCGCCCTTCCCACATTCCAATCTTTCACTGTCGCCCCAGGCAACTGGGCTGCCCAAGACCAAACCCCACTAAGGAGAGGTGGGAGTCCAGGCTGGGCACGTAGGGAGGCAGAAGAGGAAGGAACAGAGGGGAGGAAAGAGGCTGAAAAGAGGAAAGACTTATTCCAGAAAGCAGACCCAAAATGGGGGTGGGAGAACCAGGCAGAGACAGAGAAGGGAAGCAAGAGAGAAGGTGGGGCAGTAGTAGCCGTCCAGATGCATGGTGGGGACAGCTGCTCTAAGAGCAAATGAAGGGGCACAAGTTCTGCTCCTGCTTCCCTGGGCACTTGTGATTGTGTACGTGTGGGAAGTGCTCGAGGCCTCGGTCCCGGTCCAGGTGTCCCGGTCTGGGGGCAGCACTCACCACAGGAGCAGCAGACAAAGCACTGGGTGTGGTAGAGGCTGTCCAGGGCCTGGCAGGCGTTGCTTTGCCCATAGATGCCTTTGTTGCACTTGATACAGGTGCCTGAGGGGAGAAATGTTGTCAGCATCACACCTCACCCCACCGCTCTGCTCAAAACCAGGAATTCCTGCTCCTTCCTGATTGTGCCAGAGGACCACCAGTCGGAGCCTCCCTTTCATGGGCTGCCTTCTGGGGAAACGGGACGGTGAGAAACGGAATGCAGCACGGTCTTGCCTGAGCAGATCCATTCTTATTCATTGATTAATCAACAGATATTTCCTGAGCATCTATCTTATGCCTAGCAAAATATTGTGCTCAACACTGTGAAAACTGGAGAAAAGTCAAAGATAATGCTTTGACTTTTCTATTGCTTTCTAATGCTCACTTTCTATTGGGGAGAAAAGGCTAAAGAGGCAAAGTATAATCCCTCTTGCACTAGTGGGACAAACAGTTGGAGATGCCAGTTCATACAGGCCCAGCAGCAGACTCAAAAAAAACTCCCCAGAGAGAGCAGGCCAGGCCCAAAAAGCCTCTCTGGGACCTGTTTTCCCAATGTGTGAAATGAGCTGGTATTCAGCTACAGAATGACTTCTCACTGCTCCAAACCTCCAGGCTTCCGAGAATGGAAAAGGAAGGCTTTGGCTCAGCAGTGAGTCCTATGCAGAGGGCACCATGTGAGCATGACTCCTGGAGGGAGCTGGCTGCTGAGAATGCAGGGTGTGTTCCCGGGGGGGTTGCATGGGAAGAGGGGGAAGGGTGGCAGAACCCCTAATGTCTCCCTGTCACCTTCTATCATGGGAGGAGCAGAGCTGAACTGCTTTTCCCCAACATCCCCCCTAAAATACATACATCTGGCTCTGGCACCCGCCTTTCCTGGGTGTGTTCTTCCCTCCCTCCACTCCCCAATTCCAGGCCCATGAGTGAGGGTGAGGGCCTGTCTTTGGGGAGCAGATCCCAACGGGCCTGCCTCACCCCGCCCCACCTCTACGCCTCGGCACACTGCCACGCTCCTTGCCTGTTGGGGCCCATCCCAGTCTTTGCCCAGGGGCTTGGGAGCCCGTGCAGCAGCTGCAGCAACTGATGGGCCCAGGCCTGTCCTGCTCCCACCCTCTGGCAGCTGGGCAAAGCTGTAGCCAAGGAAGAGGGCCCCTACTAAGGGCAGGAGTAGGAGGGTACAGTTAGGCTGGGGGTTCTGTCAGAGGAGAGGCATGATCTACAACATGATCTCCAGGGAGAAGAGGCCCCTATCTCTGGGGTCGAAACGTGGTCTCCCCATGGAAATGAAGCTCTGCCCCAACACTGCCATGCCAGGGGGCAAGTCAAAGCCACTTCTTTGCAAAGACTTGGGTATTATGGGAAGGCAAGAGCAAACTGCTCAGGCATGTCGACCTCACTTCCTCTAACTCAGGATATCCACACCTAGGTTCTTCCTGCCATTTTATTGCATGCACCCTCTTTGAGTTCTTTCTTCCTTTTGACTCTTATGGCTTAGCCAAAGAAACTTCTTTCCACCAAACGACCATTTCTCCTGGGGCCCCAAAGAAAACTGCAAAAAGGATTCTGTTACATCCTCTCCCTCGACCAAAGCTTCATCTGTTTTGGGCTTTCCCCTCTAAAGGTAGAGGGAAAACAATGGAAGGGGTTGGGTTAAACCAGGCAAGCCCCTCCAGCCTGCGGCCCTGCTGCCTCGGCACCTCCTCTCCAGCCTTCCCTCTCTGGCTGGGGTTCTCTCCTACTCACATTTCTAGCCATAGAGGTCTAGAGCAGGGGGTCCAGGGCAAGAACATGGACAGGAAGAAAAATGAGGAGATGCTTAGAAAACTGAAGAGGCCCATAGCCCTGGGGTGAGCCCTCCACTTCTTTCTGTTCTTCCTGTCCCAATCAGATTAGTATTTCTTTATACAGGGAAGTGCTGCCTGTAGGTCTTGGCCAGAAAAGTTCAAGACCCTAATATCCACCCCCCCACCCCCCGCCAGCTGAAACATAAAATCAATCAATAGTTCTTAAAGACATGAGGGAAGAGAGACAACGACCAGGGTTCCTTAACAGCAGCAGAAAAGTAAGAAGCTACTTCTAGCCTGAATTCTGAGCAGGTAATGGCCAGAATTTAAGACCACGTTATTCTGGCAGTTACACGGGGTTGTTATCCATCAGGGATGATGGTGTCCCAGTGATCATGCCTTCTGCCCCGACTTCCGGACGGAAAAAATAGAAGCCGACACCACCGGGTCTCCGCTTAAATGCCCACGCAAGCATCGAGCCAGCAACAGCAGGGGCCGGCAACAGCAGGCTCCCTACTTTGCGACCCAGTGCGCTTCATCCCCCCTCCCATGTTCCATTTCCCCAACCGCGGCCACAGCTCCGCGCGTGTTAGGGAGCAGTCCCTCGCCCCCCTTCCGCCGCACCCCACCCCTCCGCCCTGCACCGCACAGTCGGCCCCGCCCGAGGGCACCTGGAACGTCGGGACAGGAGCCGGCACGCACGCGGCGCGCCCGCCCGGTCCCCTCCCCCCAGCGAATTCCCCGAATTCCTGCGGGCGGAGCCTGGGCCCGCGTGGGGGCTCAGCGCATAGAAGCCTGCAGGGGCACCGCCACCGAGGGGGGGGCAGGATGGAGGGATGCTCTCACTGCCCCATGCGCCCCCCCCCCCAAAGGCCTGCTTCGGCGAAAAACCGAGACTCTAGAGCGTGGCGAACTGGGACTCAGGATATAATGGGGGGGACTAGAATTCAGCAGGAATAAGGAGCCTCTAGTCCGTGTGAAACCCAGCAAGAAGTCCCTCTAGCCTCTTTTCTAGAACACGCGTCTACGCCTCTGACCACCCGGCGTCGGCAATTAGGGCTGTCGGGTCAGTGAGCAACCAAATGCAGTGACGGGTCCCTTCCTTTCCCTAACCACTCACCGAAGTAGTCCTCTCTGGCCTCCGGCTCCCGCATTCGGGGTCGGGCGGCCTCCGGAACGAAAGGACCTGGAGGCTCCTCGAGACCAGATGGTTCAATCGCCGAGGGCTCCCCACGGGCACCGACTTCACGTCCACCTGTGCCCGCCGTCAGGCGCAGCAAAGCTGTTAGCTCGTCCTGGTATCCGGCGCCCGCAGCGCAGTCCCCATAGCCGGTCACCGAGTGTCGTCCGGGTTGCATCCCTCGTCTCTCCAGGGGCCCTGTCGCTCCCACTCCAGCCCCGGCTAGAGCCCCAGGGCTGCCCAAGGCCGGGGGATACGAGTGGCGGCTTTCCTGGCAGCCGAACCCCGGGGGCCGATGAGCGCACAGTCGGTCCAGGGCAGCGTGGAGCTCGGGGTAAGCGGACGGCACCCCTCCAGAGGAATAGCCAGCCGGAGCCCCTGCCAGAGGTGGGCCAAACAGGCATGGCCCGACGGGCAGGGGGCTGCCGTGGCGCTGGTCGTAGCCCATGCTGATGCCGCTGGTACGATTGCTGCAGGGTCGGCTACCTCCGGCTCCGCCGGCCCCTGCCCCGTCCAGCAGCAGGCTGCCTCGGGGACTCGAGGGCTTACTCGCATCGCTGGCTGAGCTACTGGCGAAACTGGAGCGGGGGCTTAGGGCTGGGGCCGTGGTCTCCAGCCGAAAGTCTGGGGTCAGTGACTGAGGTAGAGGCAAGGCCCGAGTGGAAGGCGGACCCCCGGAAAAGGAGCCCTCGTAGCGCTGCGCCTCAAAGGAGCCGCGGGGGTTCCGCTCAGCGTCCAGGGGGCCTTGCTCCCGGGCCGGCTCCAGCGGCTCATCCCCAGGTCCCCCAGAACCTCCACCGGGCCCCGATTTTCTAGGTAACCCCGACCCACTCAGTCGCCCCTTGCCTGGTCCGGGGGTCCCATCAGACCCAGACCGGCTAGATTCACCCTTTCTGCGGCCGAACTTAGCGCTGCCGGAGTCCGAGAGTCTTAACTTCTCCAGTAGGCGACTGGCTTTCTCTCCTAACCGCTCCATACCCTCGGGCCTAGGGCCTCAGCCCCTTCCCCGACAGGCACCCTGCGGCGTCTGGGCACCGCTTCTTTTTCCCTGCAGCCGGACTCCGGGTCCCCAGGGGCACAGGGTAGGCACACGGGATTTAGCGGGCGGCCCGGATGCCGGGTGCCAGGAATCCCACAGCATCCCCCAGCAAGAGGGGCTGTGTCCCCCCGGGCTTCAGGGGCTGAGCAGGGCTAGAGGGGCCTATGGCCGCGGCTGTCCCACGGGCAAGTCCTTCCGTTCACGCACCAAGTCGCCCAGCCGCCCCACTCTCCCCAGCCCCCGCCCCCCTCACTCTCACACTCAGCACGGACGGGACTTCTCTCCCAAACTTTTGTCTGCCTGGCCGGATCTACTTTCCTGGAGGGGCGGAGCGCCGACTGCGAGGAACAGGGGAGTCTGCGCAGGGATCTCTGCTGCGCTGACGGGGCGGTGGGAGCTGGTACTAACTGTCCTGGAGGTGGAGATCCGTCGACTGGAGAGGAGGGCAAGTTTGGGCAGCTGCTACTACATCATTCAATAATTGGAACAGGAAAAAGTTAGGGTGGGACTCTTTGTCTACAGTTGGAATGCGCGGAGGGGCACGGTGGAATGTCGCGGTCTTGTACGAGGCGACGCGAGGCATGTTCTGCGCAAACACCACGACTTTGTTCCTACCGTGGGGACTAGAAGAGCTGGAGAGGGACTGATGCAGAAGTGATGGGGGGGGGGGGTCCTTTAAGAGGAAGACAGGGAGAAACCAGAAAGGTAGATACATAGAGAGGTTCAGAGACGCCTACATAGGGTCCAGAAAGGCTAGGAAGCCGACATAGAGAGGTGGTGCAAGACAGGTAGCGAAAGGAAAGGGAGCAAAGGGGGTGGAGGGTGGCGCAGGGACCGAAGAAGAATAGACTAAGAAAAAAATTTGTGTAAGTCCAGGGAGAATGAAAGATAAAGAAATAAACTTAAATAAAAAGACACCGCTCTCTGAACCCAAAGCTCTGTGTAGGGAGGCAAGGTATTGAGCATCTACACAGAAGGAGGAAAAGGATTGGAATTAATCTCTACCTTTAAGGTTAAGACAGATCGAGGCATAGCCCCCTGGTGTTGGGAAATAAGATTGTTAGCAAATATTTCAGGTGACTGGGGAAAGGTCTGGTTTTAGGGCTAGTGAACGCCTCCCCTTTGGTTGGCCCACAGAGGATTGATGATAAAAAGTAAGTATTAAGAGGAATAAATGTCATTTAAAGGAGATAGCAAGTGAAAATGATCAGGGTGGAAAAGGAAGAGAGGCTGACATTGGCCATACTAGAAGGATCAAGAATAAGGAAGAGAAGAAACCATAGCTGAAGCTGAACATAACCAATTAAATACCAGCCAGTTGATTTTGCCCAGACTACCATATCAGGGGCAAGGGATGGAGGAAGTAGAATGGAGAAAGAAAGTGAGTCCTTTGTATTTAGATAGTAAATTAATATGAAAATTATATGTAAACATCATACATACTACTTTTGGCTCAACATTTTGAACACCTTTTATAATCTTAGTGTAGCCTTAGGGAATGGGGAAGGAAAGGAGGTGAATATCTTTTGGGAACTTAATTTGGCACCAACTACTTGGCTTCTTTGTCCTAGCTGCATGCATTGTTTCCCTGACCTCATCTCTCTTGGGAATCAGCCTTTCTTTCCCTGGTCAGGCTTACAGCTTTTCTCTGATCCAGAGGAGACTTTACTATCAGACTGGAAGCAGAGAGGACTGAAAGCATTAGCAATAGAGGGGAGCTATCAAATTGCATCCTGAACTTGCTACGAGCAATATCTTTGGAATTAACTATAGGGCTCTCCCTCCTTTCCTGTTTCCAGATGGGGAAGGAGAACCTGAATTCTTCCTTCTAATTATTTATATCCAAAATATTCTCACAGCCTCTAATATTTGAAAGCTTTGTTCCATTGGGATGAGGATGGGAGAATAAACCTTATGAAAAGTTGAAAAGCTATTAAAGGAAGCCCATTCATGAGTTGGTGGTGGCAGCAATGAGCACAGTTGGGATCAACAACCTGTGTTTTCAAGGGATCATAGGAAGTAGACACAAGATGGAGAGGGCGCACTGAGGGCATGCTCCAACAGTGCCCACAACCTCAGGGCAACCAGTCCACAGCATGAGCTGGAGCCAGGAGCTCCACAGGACATATGGTCCACCCCCAAAACTTTAATTAAGGTCTGTATATACAGGTGACTGCCAAATCCATATCTCCAACCTGACTTTCTTGGATTTAAAAATTTCACCTGACTACTAGTATCTCTACTTAATTGTCTCAAAGCCATACAACACCTTACACTGACCTCACCTTCCCGGTCTCCTGAAACTAGCTCCTCCAGCATTCCCTGAGTAAATGGCATCATTAACCACTTGGCTGCTTAATCCAGAAACCTGAACATCAGCCTTAGCATCCTCCTCCCTTAACCTCAAATCCAACTAAGTCCTGTCACCAAGTCCTATCAATTCTCCTTCCTAAATATTCCTCCAGTCTGCCCTCCCTTCGTCATCACTATGTCAGGCCACCATCTTTTCTCTCCTGAACCACTGCAGCAGTCTCACTGCCAAGGCCTTCTCCCTCCAGCTCATAACCTGAGGTCAAGTGATTCTTCTAAAACACAGAAAGGATCAGCCCACTTTCCTCCTTAAAACCTTTCAGTCATTTCTTACTGCCCTTGAACTTAAGTCTAAACTATTCAAGATGTTTTACAAGGTTTCTCTACCTCTCCAGCTTCTTCTCTCAGCATCATCCTCTCCCCAACTATTCTACAGTAGAACTGTAGAATTTACCTTGTCTGTGCTCTCTAGTACCTGATGTTCCCTATGTTTGAAACACTCTCGTGGTCTCCCCTTCCCTTCTGGTTAACTCTTCCCCATCTTTCAGGTATCAGTTTAAACACTACTCTGCAAAGCCTTTCCAGACCACAAGAGCAGGTTAGCTACCCCTGCGGTATAATGCCAGTGTACCCTACACTCCCTAATTATCACTTATTGCAATTTTCTTCACTGCCTACTAAACTGCCTAGCTTTCTGACTAGATCATAAAACCTCTGATCAGCATCTACCTTGATTAATAGTGTGTCTATAGCACAGTAACTGACACCTACCCAGTAAGCAATGTTTGTTATATGAATGACCGAATAGAAAGCCATTTTTACTTCTCAATCTTTTCAAAATGCACAAATTTTGTGTACTGTGTGTGTGCACATGTGCACACATCCCTTCCTCAAAATACACCTTGGCTGATAGGACTAAGAAGTAACTACAGAGTCCTATATACTGTTTGGTCACACAGTGGGACTGCAGGTGCCAGGGGGACAATGGGAACTCTTTAATCCTTACTCCCTCATGTATAAGGTGTGAATAATAAAATCTGCTTCGTATTATTCAATATAGCTATTCCATCTAAACCCTAAATCCCAAAAAGGGATGGAGCCCCTCCCTGTTCAGCGCAGAAGAATCAAGCCCATGACTGAAACTGCCCACCGGGCGGCAGTATTACCCTGGACTGGTCCTGCGCTGCTTCCACTGCAGAGCAAGACCAGCAGTCCCTGGAAGCCGAAGGTGCAACCAGAACTGCTTCCCTAGAGCTTTGAGTGAAACCAAAAAATAACAACAATAAAAATAACCTCAGAGACCAGAGCATGTCAAGAAGGTCTCATGTTTCTTAGATCCATCCTCCTCCTTCTCTCATCCCAGGCTCTTCTGGGGCACTGTGTATACTTAGGAATTTTCTGGCTTGCCATTCACAATGGGGGGAGTTTCCCCCCTTTCACATAAATCCTTTTATTCTACCAGAGCTGCCATCTTCCACCTCCTTTTCTGCAAGAAAAGAGACAGAATTGCTTTCTGAGACTGCAGAGGACGTCTCGTTATTCTGGGAAGCCCCGTAGCCACCTGTTTCTGGGACGTGGGGAGTGGCAGAAGCCACAGCTACTCTTGATTATAGATTTCACTCATCCTTTTCCACCTTGATTTCAATGAATGAGTTCAAATCAGGACAGCAGGTTTTGTGGGACTGGTCAAAAGACAGGGAGACAGGTCCATTTCCATCACCTCCTTCATCTTCCTCTTCTTGAAAATTAGGATTATAAAGTTCTGGTGGAAGGAGCTGGGCCTCAGCAGAAGGTAGTCGGTCCGAGGGAGGCCCATACACACGGTTGGCTTTCGTGCCATGCTTCGAGTTGGCATCCAGATGGTAGCAGAGCTCTGTGAGGCGCTGGGCCCGGAAACGAGGAGGCCGGGCTACCCAGACACCTGGCTCGTTGAGACTGTCCTCTTCATCTGACATCAGCTCTTCTGTCACGTCTTTCCACAGGCGTTGGTCCTCAGGTCCAAAATGTCTCATGATACTGGATCGGTTGGCAAAAAGCTATGGTAGGAGCCAAGGACAGAGATTAGGAAGACAAACAAACTATGGATCAGGTGTGGGGAGAGGGTTGGGGTAGGAAGAAGTCTCTGTAAAATCTGCGCCTGAGAGAACCCAGCCCCCAAGTCAAATCTTAGAACTAGCTCACCCTGTTCCTCCTCTCTCAGCCTACATTCCTGGCTCTCAACTCTGTTCTCAGATGCCATGACCTCTGGCCCTTCCTACTGTAGCTTATTAGGGTTTAAAGTTTAGCATCTTGAAAGGAAGGCCTAGAAACATACCCGGTATCTGCGACTTCGAAGTTTCTTCTCCTCTTTTTCCTTTAGGCCTTTAAAGGGGTTCAGGGAGTTGCGGTACTCACGCCTCTTAGTAAGGAAGTAGGCTACACAGGCTCCTGGCAGGTAGGGAGAAGGGAGAGAGCGAAGAGCAGTGATTCTCAGCCCTTTGTTCTGCCCGAACACTACTGGATGGGAGGGTGAGAATCACTCTTCAGACAATGGGTTTTCTTAACGTAATCACCCATCAGCCAAAAAAATCAATCCACTATTTTCAAAACTTCCATCTTTGGTTTAGCTCTTCTTGCCCACATCTAACTCTAATTCCTCCCATACCTCCCACTAGAAAAAACAACTCCAGTGCTTTTGTAACTCCTTTCCCCCTGCCCCAGTTAAACTCACTCCCATTCTACTCTGCTGATAGTGGAGTACAAGTGCTTTTTCAGTGGAGGTGTGTTGTTTTTTGTTTGTTGTTGTTGTTTTTGTAAAAAGGTGGCTTTGTCACTTATTCACCTTATCTCAGTTATGCCATTTTGGCATACACAATGACAGCCCCTGGAAACTGGGGTCAGTTTCCCCCACTATGGTCATTAACCACAGAGCTGGGCCTGAGTCTCAAGGTCCCACTGACGGCTAGAGGCTGCATGCAGGCAGGGGCTTCAGGCTTGAGCCATGC